CCCTCTCCCCCATCTTTCCTCATAGGTCCAGGCTTTCTAAAGCTCTTATTTTTGTCACTTTGCTCTGGACTCTCCAATATGTCCACATCCTTCCTATAAGGTGGTACTCCGAATGAGACACAGTACTCCAGCTGAAGCCTGGGTCTTATGTACTACACTCCCATTAATGCATCCCAGAATAATATTAGCCTGTTTTGCGCTGATTCCTGGCTCGCTCCCAGTCCCCACCCCTGTGCCTGGCAGCTCTTAATACATTTAAAAGTCAGAGCCGCAGCGGGATTATTTCCCAGGCTGGAAGCTAACCCCACTGCAGCTCTGCAGTCCCCCCCCTTATCGACCACTCGAGTCACTGATGGGAATTCCGTTGACCATCTGATTGGCTGATTACCTGCAATTTAACATCCCTATTATAAACTGGGATCAAGTCACCTTAGCTATCCCTATGTTAGGCTAAACAGATTGAGATCCATGAATCTGTCACTATAAGGCATGCTTTTCAACCCTTAAATCAAATGTATGCATCTTTTGGAACCCTCTCCTACACATCAACATCCTTCTTAAAATATTCCAAGAATGGTCACATCAGCATCAAATGCAAAGGTAATATAGCCTTCCTACTCCCATCCTCATTAGGATGACCACAGCCACTTTAAAAATAGAAACATCAGCCCCACCAAAGTAACAGACATAAGGACTGGGAGTGCTTGGCAGATATTTATACCTCAGGGATAAGCTTCACTGGTCTCTGTCCTGCTACTTTCCACGGATGTTTTGGCTTCATTAGCCTTGGTTGACACTTATGTATTTTGCAGTGTTGTAACTGGGTTGGCCCCAGGATATTAGCGCAACTAATATAGGTGAGGCAGTATCTTTTATTGGACTACCTGTTGGGGAAAGAGATGAGTTTTTGAGTTGCACAGAACTGTTCTTCAGGCCATCTGGTCTCGCTTATATATTCTGTAAGATTAACAGGCCCCTTCCCTTATTCCTAGAAAGGAATCTAAATAGTGCCTTTTGAAAATCACAATAAGCACCCTCAGCTCCCACTGCCTTCACTTGGAGCTGTGGGTGCTCAGCACTTTTGAGTCAGGCCATTAGCTGTTTCTCAATTTCATCAGGTTTTCATGCACCAAAAATCCCATCTGAGCTGATCAGACT